TCCTGACCCCATCCTCTCCTGAGTCCATCCCCATGGACACTGCCCAGCACGTGGGTTCTGTAGTCCTGACCCCGTCCTGTCCTGAGTTCCTTCCTATGGACGCTGTCCAACATGTGGGTTCTTTAATCCCAGCCCTGTCCTGTCCTGAGGCCATCCCCACAGACACAGTGGGGACCCTGGCCCCCTGGCAGGCACTGACTGGGAGCTTCCTGGAGCAGTTGGGGTGTCAGGAGCTTGTAGGCCCCCTGGGTGGCTGTTTGGTGGGAGATGAAGGCAGGTGGTGCCTGGATGGAAGTGCCCTGAGCTCCTGTAAACTCGGGTGAGGTTGGCTGGCTACCAAGCCCCCACTTAGTGTCCCCTCTGTCTTCCAGCTCCAGCCTCTCTCACCCGGGGAAGCTGCACTTTGTGTTCAACATTGTGGAGTTTCTGTCGCCCATCCCGGCGGTAGCCCGACGGCGGGGCGTGTGCACGGGCTGGCTGGCCACGCTGGCGGCCACACTCCTTCAGCCAGATGCCCTTGGGCCAGCTGCGGACGGCGGGCATGGCCCAGCTCCCCAGGTAGCCAACAGCATGTGACCCCAGGCCGTTCCCCGCGGGTGGTCCTGCTGGGAGGGACCGTGGTTCCCTGGATTCACGGTGGGCATGCAGGCGTGCGCTGGCCGGAAGCTGTGCTGCCCGATTGCTAATCGTTTGAGGGCAGCTTGTTCTTGGTCATTGTTTAGTCGGCTTTCAAACTCTTCATGGTTTGTTTGATATTCCAGATCTCCATCTCTCCTCGACCCATAAACCCCTTCCGCTTCCCAGAAGACCCCTTAATCCCGGTGGTCATGGTGGGCCCGGGCACCGGCGTGGCCCCCTTCATCGGCTTCCTGCACCACAGGTGAGCCAGGCTGCGGGGAGGCAGCAGGAACGTGTCCCCTGGACAGGGCGGGACAGCAGGTGGGCAGTGGGAGCATGTCCCCTGGACTGGGCGGGGACAGCAGGTGACCAGGTGCACAGCAGGAGCAAATCCCGTTGGTGCTTGGCAGGTGGACAGGCAGCAGAGCATGTCCCCTGGTCTGGGCGGGGACAGCAAGTGGCTGGGTGGGCGGGCAGCAGCAGCATGTCCTCTGAACTGGGCAGGGACAGCAGGTGGTCAGGTGGGCGGGCAGCAGGAGCATGTCCTCTGAACTGGGCGGGGACAGCAGGTGGTCAGGTGGGCGGGCAGTGGGAGCATGGGCCCTGGTCTGGG